TCCGACTCGCCGTCGCTTGTGAGCGCTAGAGCGCAGAGGCCAGTGTGAGCTCGTCAAATAACAAATGAAACAGATTTGCACGCCCAGAAAAAGCCGCTGCTGGTAGGAGCTGATTCGGCTGTGGCTGGGGGCTGAAACCGCCCTTTAAATTTAGGTGGCAAATATGCAGCCAATACACTATTCGTTTATTTCCTAATCCCTCTTCAATGGGAAAGCGTATTGCAAAAACCTGGTCTTAAGAACTCATTAGTTCTACTTGAAATTCGTTTCTCTTCAGCCACATGGGCATGTGCTTACTGTAATCCTCAGTTAGAAAATATATCCGGAGGAGTCTGAAAGATGTCAGCTGTTGCATTAGCCTCGGTGGCCAAATTACACTGTGTACTTTTTGTTTTTTCTTTCAAAAAATACATCCTCTGCCCTCTCTATTATTGCAAGTTGAATGGAAAAACAGAACAGTAACCTCCTTGTGTATGTGTATGCGCATAGATATATGTTTTTGTATAAGTTCCGCAAAACGTGCGGAGAAGAAAGCCCTCCAGCTCCCCACATGCTGGTTCTCGTTATTGTCACCAGAGGTTTTTGGAGGCTCTGTAAAGCTGAGGTGTAAGCTGAGCGCAGCCTTTCCTGGCTCAGCAGTCTGGTGCCTTGCTGTGGTTTGGCAGGGAGAAGTTGTCCATTGGCTGGCATGCGCTCTGTCCCCCCCCTGCCGCAAGAGCGTCATTCCGACCGTTGGAAGCGGCCTTATGGAAGGAAACTGCGTCTCGCTGACCAGGATACTACGTTCGGCCAAATTAAGGTTAATTTTTTCACGTTGTTACTTATTGTGGAAGTCCCAGAATCTGACTCTTCCAGTATGTAAGGTAGTAATTTATTGTTCCATTAGCGTATGCTTAGTAATTTAGGCACCCAGGCTTTTATTTTTGTCAAGACTCCAAGCACTGCAAAACTTGCATGTCCCGAGGTAACGTTGTAAAAGCAATAAATCCTCTTTCGTTACAAATGGAAATAAGATGCAAATACTTTTTTTTTTTTTTTTCCCTCCGAGTTCAACTTCAATCCTTTGAAAAACCACCCACATCAGACTAACAGTTGTTCCACCCACAGAGTTGGGTTTTTTCTTTTTGTAGTTAATTGAAACACAATTGAGACTTCTGAATGTTTCATTAGTAATCCAGATAAAACCTGTATTTGACTCGGGATTTAGGCCAAATTGCCAGATTCGGTCTTGACTGCTATGTCGTTTGGCGTTTTTGGGGACGCAGAACTGCGCGATTGCATAAATACTTATGTGCTTCAAGGTTTTTCCAGTAGATAGCTCTGCTTACATAGATGCTGCCACTATAATTGTAACCAATGATATAACTGAAATGAATGAATTTCATGTTCCATTTAAAGAACCATTTTCAGCTGGACTGCCAAAGGGATTTTTGCCGCTGTAATTACACCTGCATTTAATGTTTTTTTGTCTAGGTAGCTTTGATAGGCATGGACTCATGTTTTTGTTGCCTCCCCTCCCTCCCCCTTAACAGTCGCGTAGCTATGTACGCTCTTTCCGTCTGTAGCCCTCCCTTAACCAGCGTTGCTGTGCTGGCAGCCTTTGAATGCGAGTAAGGTTTTTCCATGTCTGTGGCTTCAAGAGAGTCAAGAGGAATAAATACAGAAGCTAAAAGCTTCCAACGTGTACAGTTTGGCAGTGCATCAAAATAAAGGCATTTTGCCTTGGTCAGAAATTCACAGAATAAATACACTTAGTTAAAGCTCAAAATAAAACAGATTTTTCTTTTTTCTTTGAAGTTTAATTCAGTTTTTTAGCAAAATGAAAAAGTGGATGGACATGTCAAATCTACCACAGGAGTTCCGAGAGCGAGTAGAGAGGCTGGAGAGAAATTTTGAAGTGTCAACTGTGATTTTCAAAAAGTTTGAACCAATATTTTTGGATGTATTTCAAAACCCTTACGAAGAAACTTCTAAACCACAACGAAGCAGGAAACAGAGGTATTTGTGAGGCTTAATGTGACTTTTCCCTGGAAAGGGCTACCTATGGTACAGCTTTACAAAAATTAAGATCATGTTTTGTGCTTTAAAAAGTCCGGGAAGGTTCTGAAGTGGTAGGGTCACTTTGCTTTGTGGCCTTGACTCTGAAATGCAATGAATAAAGAAGGACCCCTCCATCTTGCTGGGATAGTGCTGATATGAGCAGAGCTTTTCCTCTGTATGTTGTTTCTGCAATTCACTGTAGGATTCGGATATTGGCTTGTAATGAGAATGTCTCTGTATGATGGGAAGAGCTACAGTGAGATAGATTAACTCCCGCAAAGAGCAGTACTGATGATGTTTAGCCAAAATAACTGAAGTAATACAGGGGTATTTTGTCTTGGCAAAGTACCTCCTCAGGTAGTTGATGTCCTGAAATAATCCGTCTGTACAGTCTTAGCTGCCTGTGCTGAATGGGAAAGCATTTCCAGTTCCGTGGCTTTGGATGATCTCTACGCCAAACTCAATGCAGGAGAAGAAGCTGTAATACAAGTAATAGTTGCATGTGTTGAAGGGATGACTGATGCTTTGGTAAAATATTTAGGAAAAAATCTGTTGTTGTAATTTATATACCGCTTGGCATCGGTATATAAGAACTCCAGGTGAATTTTTTTACGGTTGTGACACCAGAAAAATAGTATGTCCAAGAGTCACAGACCAAAGGCAGCTGCTTGCTCAAAGAAAGAGTGAAAAGGTTCAGTGATGATGGGCTGAATGCTCTGTGGACCTAGATAGGAGGAGAATTAATTACTGAAAATTGAAATAAGCACGTATGGCTTGCATTGCGCCTTAGCGTGAAATAAAGTTAGACGATGGCTCTGACTACTATTTTGAGCAAGGAAACAATATGAAAGTCTTACTATTAAAAAAAAACAAGTTTCAGCTTCTTGGAAGTGAAGACTGACTTTTTTTTTCCTCCCCCTCCTTGACAGACGGGTACCGTGCAGCGTTAAAGATCTCTTCAACTTCTGCTGGACTCTCTTTGTATATACTAAGGGTAGGCTTGCTTTGTTATTTATCTGCATGTTTTGTATATGTTTTGAGTTATTAACTCTTTTATGTTGTTTGATGTGGTACGCTATCTCTTGAAGGTAATTTCCGTATGATTGGAGATGATTTAGTAAATTCCTATCATTTACTTCTGTGCTGCTTGGACCTGATTTTTGCAAATGCCCTTTTGTGTCCAAATAGAAGAGATTTGCTAAATCCATCGTTTAAAGGTATGATGAGACAGATTATTTTAAATCAAATATGCTTTGTTCTTTTGTTTCATTTTACATGAAGTATAAGGTCAGCTGTTTTTGCCTCCCCCCTCCCCCGATCTTCCTCCTCCTTGTTTTCAGGCTTACCTGTGGACTTCCATGCAACAGAGATCAAAGCCTCAGAAGAGCCTCCTTGCATCATTGCCACCCTATGTGAGCTACATGATGGGCTTTTAGTAGAAGCAAAAGGAATAAAGGAACACTACTTTAAACCATACATTTCAAAACTATTTGAAAGGAAGGTACATCTTACTAGTTTTAAGAATGTGTGGTAGTCCTCAGATAAATGATCTTGTCTTGAAGCCATTTAAATCCTGCAAGTTCTGGAGGAAAGTGTGCTAACAGGCAAATGAATTTGGAAGCGATGGGTTCAGGTTTTCTTTGAACGTGTTTTAGCAGCAGCAGATTTGGCTCTCTCTTTCCATGATGTGTACTGTAAAGTACTCTCTGATTTGGCTTGTTATGTCATTGGGGATCTTCTCCCTTCCTCTCTTGGCAGTGTGAAAACTGAATCATGTACAATAGTATTTTTTTTCTCTAAAGACAATGTTATCTCTTTATAAATTAATGTTATGGAATAACTGTAGTGATAGAGTGGGTCCTTGTTCTTGTCTTAGAGTTAAGCAAAACGTTTTAGAATGAAGAGGTTGAGGTTGCAGTTGCACAAACTGTTCTATCTGGTTTTGATCCTGGAAAGTTGTTTCCAAGCTCTGTGGAAATTTCTGTGTAGTCATTCATCACATCACTCCCTAACCTGCTGGTGGAACAGGTTTCGATAGCAGTACTGTTCCTCTGAAGGGTGACCTTTTCTAGAGCCAGGGTAGAATTAGACTTTATCCCTGATATGTTGCTGAGGACGTTGTAAGCAACAAAATGTCCAATTACTTTCCTGACTCTCATTCACTTTTTGGCTAAACTGTTGTGCAGAATTTGAACGATTTTAATTTTTAACATATAAAATATTTCTGCTTTTTAGATCTTAAAAGGAGAATGTCTACTGGATCTATGCAATTTTGCAGAAAATAAGTAAGTTATGGCTTGTGTTCTTAGTCATAGATTTGGGTTTCATTTCTGAAATACACGTCTGGATACTGTATCTCAAGTTTTTCTGTTCCTTCCTCTTAACATAACTAACTAGTTTTAATTATCTGACCACTAAATCTATTACTGTTTAGCTGAAATGCTTTCTGGATCTGAGAGGTGTCAAATACCTTAGGGTTTTGGGTCAGCTGCAGTGGTTCTTCCTTAACTCCTTAACCTCAAGTTTTATGCTGTTTGCCTTTTTTTCCCTCCCCCCCCGCCCCCCGGCCAGCAGCTGTAGCCTTTGGGTAGCCTGATATGCAAGTCAAAATCTTGACTCTGAAGTTCATGGATTTGTTTCTGTACGTACCTCAGATACTATTCCTGGGTATGGAAGCCTTCAGTTTCCTGTTAAGTGCATAAATCTGTGAAAGCAACAGAAAAACTCAAAAAGGAAAAAAAGTGACAATTGCAAAACCACAAAAAAGGGGTAGAGCGTTTCTGTGTGAGGCTAGTAGTTGTTTTGACAAATTTTTTAAAAATTCATTTCTTGAAGCTAATTTAGATACAGAAATTAACAGCTTTGTTCTGGATACCCCTTCAGGATTGTTTTTTTTTTTTTTTGCTTTTTCCAAAAATAGCTAGTAACTTGTTTTTGCAAGATCAGTTTTTATCTCTTCAAGTTTTCTTTCTGAGAATTAAGACCAAAGACTTGGATTGTTTTGCAAATGCAGGTGACACTCTGAAATAGATATCTAACAATGTTGATATAACCCATATAAAGCAGTGAAGCAATTATAATCACTGATTTTTAGTATTTCTACTTAAAGAATAATAGTATTACTGTAATAATACTGTCATATATGATAATGCAGTAGTCCTTATTCTCTTGTAAGTAACTGAAAATCTAAAGGAAATAAGGAAGCCTTTCTGCTTCTTTGTCCAAACTGGTTTATAGAAATTTACTTTTTCTAAAAGACCATGAGAAGATAAACCTATAAAATAGTTGCAAGTTTGCTGTGGGATCACAGAGTCACTTGTGTTGCAAATATATTGTTATATTATATTAACGTATATACTGGTAGATAAAGAACATCTTAAATCTCACTGACAAAGATATTCCATATGTTCACATATTATGTAAATGTGCAGACAGGATTCAATGATGCTAGCTGTTTCTGATTTTTATCACAAAGTTGAATTCTGTTTCCCAAGTATCAGTTTAAAGCTTTGCAACCATCATGAAGTTAATTATTCCTGTTTTCCTTTATTCCAGTTTACCTATTTAAAAACTAAGGGTTTGTTTGGTCTCATATCTCAGTGAAGGTTTTTAGGAATAAAATCCAGGGGACTGGCTCTGAAATTTTCCCTGCCTCTATGCCATTATGAAAAATACTGACCGCCCAGCGGCAAAAGTAGAAATCAGACTTCCTAACTAGTTTAATACAACTATGATTAATTTGTCCTGTATTTACAAAAGGTTAACTTCAGATCAGTTGAGTACTTAAAAACTAATTTCATTTATAACTGCAAAGGAAGCTAAGTTTTTTTTCTTCCTGTACTTACTGAGAAGCAGATGATGGTGGTAACGTAGGACTAGGGCCTGCGATGGATCCTGTAGGGAATAGGGGAGGTTTTAAGTTAAGAGAAAGGCAAGATTTACCACAAGCAAGTTGCCTGTTGTAGGAAAGTTTCGCTAACAAGTAGTACTACTATTTAAAGTGTTACCTGCTTTGAACGTGTGTTGGTTTCAGTTTTGTACCGTAACTTTGATGGCACCTCTTTTGTTTCTTCAGCAGTTTAACCTTTGATTATAACACTTTGTTGTTTCTGTTTCAGCAAAGCATTGAATAAAGAATATGAAGAATATGTTCTAACAGTGGGTGACTTTGATGAGAGGGTTTTCCTAGGAGCAGACGCTGAAGAAGAAATTGGCACTCCTCGGAAGTTTCCTGCTGATATGCCAGTAGGGAAACCAGCAGCAAGAGCTCATGTAGAGTGTCATCTTCAGCAGCATTTTGAAAAGGTGATTCATGTAACATCATTTTCACTTAATACTCTCATCAAGTTTCTTCTTCATTGTATGTTGTTTGAATCACTGTGGTGACTTTGAAAAATTGAATTTCTTCAACTTTTTACTAAGAATAAGAAGCTGAATGCCATATGCATGCTTCAGTGGACCCGCTTGCTATGGAGAAATGGTGATGTCTTCTCTTTTATTTGCTTTAGTAAGTGACTAACGTGCTCACACACTTTCATATGTGAGGTAATATGTTTTTGTCTAAAGAAACCGATAAATAGTTACGACCTAAATAAAGATATATTAGATATAAATGAACAAAATCCTATTAAGAATGCCATGAACCTTTTATATTGGATTAACTTACATGTTTTCAGGTATTTCTCTCTCAATGCAGGAAATGTTAACTTCTTTGCTATTCCATGGGAAATAACATTTAAAACATAAAACCCACAAAAGCCTTATGCTTCTAATTTCCTTACAAAAAGTAGACTGTAAACAGTTAATATTTCACTGTATTAAAAATATAACATGTACTTAATGAAGCTGGTATATGGAAAAATGTGCTGGATTACTTCTTAAAATAGCTAGCAGAAAAAGGGGCGCTGCCTGTGTGAAAAGATCCTGTGCTGTTTCAAAGTTACTATTACGTGCCAGTTTGAAAAAAAAGTAATACTTATTACAAGGTACTAGTGGTGATGTAAATGAATCACACAGTTTGGGTTTTTGTTCCAAATGTGCTACATACACTGCAATACATATTTAGGCAAATTAAACATAAAATCATTTGGAATGAATTTATAAATTTGAACTTCAGTTTCTGTAGTATAATAATGACCTTTTTGCTATCCATGTACACTGAACGTGGGCATAACTCTTGATCGTTATTTGCCTAGTATCTTCAAAGTGTAGTCAGTTCTAATAATTGAAAACTGAATGCCTTATTGCATCACTTCCAGAAAGCAGAATATGAATAGATGAGTGCAATCCAAATTGTGCTTAGTCTGCTTCGTGCTACTTCATAGTCTGCTTTGTGCTACGTCATACCTTCAGCATAGGGGGCTCTAGAGTCGCCAGAACAGCATTTCCCAAGGAGCTTTCTACTGTGACCCTCTCCGAGGCAGCTCTACAACTTACTCTTTATGTCACCCAATTTACGTACATTTTGTGAATGGAAGCATATACTTTCTTGCCGTGTATTTCTTACTATTTAAGTGAGCTTAGATGTTTACATGTTTTAAGATTTGAAGTCTCACTTTCCTGGATTTAATTAAAAAAACCTTCTAAATTGACTTTAGTCTGTATTTATGGATCACAGCCTGGAAAGAGCTTTAACTAATTTCTACTGAGGTTTGAGGTCACAGATTTGGTGGCAGGCTACAGGTGGCATATTCCCTGTGACTAGTGGTGCCATTTTAATCTTTTGAGTGATTTTTGAAGGCGGTCCTTGTTCAAAATGTTTTTGAAACGGTTCTGTTGACTCATTTATTCTCTGTCTGGCAGAAAAGGTCATTTGCACCTTCAACTCCACTGACTGGAAGAAGATACCTGAGAGAAAAGGAAGCTGTCATCACTCCTGTTGCTTCAGCAACACAAAGTGTGAGCCGGTTGCAGAATATTGTGGCTGGATTGAAAAATGCACCAAGTGAACAACTTACAGCTATTTTTGAGTAAGTACCTCTACTGAAACGACTCGCATGCAAACAGAAACTCACCTTTGCTCCAAAGGTCAGGCCTTGCTTTGTGTTTGTGGTGTAAGGTCTAGGGATCGTTTGCAATTAGTCAAAATGGACATTTAGCACTGAAATATTTGAAATGCTGAAGTAATATTTCTATAGCAAGCTTCACAAATAGGTTAAACTAGAACTTCTAGTTCTCGTCTTTTGGAATTAGGCATATTTTGAAGGTTTTCCTACCGCTTATTCTTAAAAGTTTGCATTACAAGTGCTTAGCAGCATGCATTTCTATTTTGAATATTTTTTTGATTTTTAGGGACTGTTTGATATTATTTCCATTACCCAATTAAAATGTTAGCTTATCTGCAATCTCTGAATGAACATAGACATTTTTCATTAAGTAATAACTTAATATTTACCTCTCTCTCTGAAAGACCAAAACATGGACAAGTTTGATTAAAAAAAAAAAAAATCAGGCGTACTATCCGCATCGAACTTGCAAGTCCTGCACAGCCAAAAGGCTGTGGAAAAAAATGAGAAATACTCATTCAAGAGTAGCGTGAAGGTGGTGTTCATTACCTACTGAATTGTTCTTCTCTGTATAACACTGCTAGTTGGAAAGGGTAGGTGGTACTTAAAAAGGGACAAGTGAAAACCAGATTCTCCTTTCCTGATGAAAATTTTTCCTCACTTAAATAGAGAACATAAGGATTGCCTGCTGCGCTCATCTAGTCCTGTATTGTGTCTGTGAAGATGGCTGGCAGCGGACAGTTGCAGAATATAAGACCAGGGCTGGATTTGAATTGTCTTTTTTCTGATACGTTTGCTCAACTTTTAGCCCTTTGCAGTTCATGAACTTCTGAAGTCAGAGTTCGTAGCTCTGTTGCTGTATTTAATAGCTGCTAATGGACTTTTCTTCCGTGAATTTATATTTATTATTTTTAATCCATTTATTCTTTTGAATTTCAAAACATCCTGGGTTTTCTCTAAGATCTCTCCCTCATGCTGGCGTCAGCGAAGTTAGAGGTCTGGATTGTTACGTATCATTACTATGTATTTCTCTTTATTCAAGTGCATTACTTTGTGTGTAAATGATGTCGAAATTCTGTCACTTTATCAAACAAGTGTTTAACATGGTGAAGTACTTTCCTGTGTCTTTGCAGTTGGTTTGGTGTGTGTGTGTGTTTTGTTCTGTTTTTAACTGCCCAGAATAATGTTGTGTCCTCGGCAATAGTGTCATTTCACTATTCATCCCACTTTCCAGACCACTTTATAGGTGTGTTTAACTGTATTATCCCTAGGGGAATCTTTCAAGCGGAAAGCTAAAGGCACTTAGGTTAGTAGTGGATTGATAGGTACGAATAAGGAGCCCAGTCCTTATCGTCTCTTGACACCTGAATTGTCCAAGAAACCTGGAAAATGTTTTGAAAGCCTGTTACTTCGTATCAACACATTATCTTTCTCTGCATGTCTAATATAAGATTTGGCTCTTCTTCCTTTCCTTTTCTTTTTTTCCTTCTTTAAAAAAAAAAAAAATTTCCTCTTCTGTTATGTTTAGCCTTGTTTCTGCTAGCTGTTTATGTCTCCTAACAATTTTCAGAGGATGGAGACTAATTTCCTGTAACTGCTGAGATCTCCTCAGAGCCCTTTAAAAAAACTGATATTCATTTTGCTGCTTTCGTTTTTGTCGCTGAAGCTCACTGTAGCACTAGGTTATGCAGCACTGTTGCTAATTCACTGATTTTGTGTTTGTGTTACATTAGAGGTCTTAGGTGAGATCTGTCTAGTCATAGTTGTCCCTGTGGTTCACTTTACTGATGGATTCAGACTGCTTTTTAAAGACCGTTCATTAGTCTCCTAAGGTAGACTAATTTCTTCCGTAAAGAAGAGTACACTTGCAGTTTATGTTCCCCTGCAACAAACTTTTGCAGAATGTACAGAATTGATTTCTGTTCTCTTATTGTCTTGCCTTACTTGAGTATACCTTCATCTGTTGGCTCTGTAGGCTTCCTACTTCTATTGTGTTTTGAGGTTTTCGTGTTTATACTTTCAGTAAATAAATATGATCTGAATAAATAAATATTAATACATTATTATGATTGTATTTAAGCTACTAGTTTGTGGTTTCAAAGATATTGACCCTGAGAACTCTCCTTTGCTGTCTCAAACTGTGCCTGTTTGTGCAGTTGCAGGGATGCATTTGGTTTTATTTGGTTACCTGTTGGAGCATATTTCTTACTGCCTCCCTCCCGACAGATGCGTCTGTCTTAGTGTGCTCTTATAGCTCTTGATTTCTTCTGCACTTGTTCTAAAATTTCCTGTAGACCTTCTCTATCAATGTTAGGAAAAGAAAAAAAAAAAAGAAACAATCTCTTTGTATCTTTTCAGTATTCCTGAGTTCTCCTCTACTGTTTATAGTAATGCATGTTATTGCCTGATGAGAAAAGCTGAGAAAAACTAGCTTCTCTTCTTATTTGAGTGGGGGCTGGGGGGAGCAGAATATTTATTTGTACAAATAAGACTTTTTCTTTGTGTTCTACTCTAGATCTTGTGCACGGAGCCCTATGGAAAGCATCATGAACAGAGTGAAAGAAATAGGTGAAACTTTCTGTCGGAGCTACACTCAGTCAACAGATGAACAACCAGGATCTCATATAGGTATGAATGTGAAATACATGGGATGTTTCAAAATATGAAACCAGGCAAATGAAATGCATACATATGCTATCCTGTAAGTACTTAATGCAGTACCCAGAACCTGTGCGGAAAGGAAACTGTTGCTGTCAAAGAGAACACTGTAAAAAGCATTACAGAACGGAACGAGGTTACAGTTCAAAATGGGATAACCAATAAAGCGTTGAAACTTTAGCAGCTATTGACTAAAATTTGGTGTTGGTTTTAAATTTCAGATTTTGCTGTAAACAGATTAAAACTGGCAGAGATCTTGTACTTTAAAATCTTGGAGACTATAATGGTACAAGAAACACGAAGACTGCATGGGAAGGACATGACTGTAAGTACAGAAATAGCAAAAAAAGAGAAGGCTTTTCATAATCACCCTCTAAGGAGTTATCTTTAGACTACTCCAGAACAGATCAGTCTGCAGGGGAGCAGCCTGTGTATATTGTTAGTATTAAATAAAAGAGAATTATGTGGGAGGTGCCTAAATGTAGGGGGGTTTTTTACTATTAAAAATGGTATAAATTTGGCATTACTAATTACAGTAAATTGTGTTAGCTTTTAGAATAATAAATTTATGGGCAGATAATTCTTATTTGCTTCTTTATTCCATTAACGATATCAGTACTTCATGTTAGATGGCAACACGTTTATTATGCTTCGTGATTCACAATAGGGACACCATTTCGTTTGGCCGTAGTATGAAACCGGTGTGATGGTTTTGGCACTGTTAATCTACTTTACCATTCTAGATTTCCCTGTAGAAATAGGAGATTGTGGAAGGTGGAAGAAAAAACAGTAACTGTTCCTTCAGGCAATAAGCTGTATATTTTTGCTAGAAAAAGGAAACTTCAAATGACACAGTACTTAAATAGCTTAGTGACTCCTACGTATGCTGCTGGGGGTTTACCTGTTCTTCCCTTCTTGTAGTCACTTTCTGGTTTGACTGTGAAGAGCAAAACATACGTTATGCATCTGGGTTTTGAAATCTTTTTCAGGGTCTTTCTATGTTTTCTCCTAAGTATGATAACATTTTAAGTGTTTTTTTGAGATTTTAAAAATGCAGTCAACCTAGTTTTGCTAAGAAACCTATCTTTCCTATGCTCCCCAACAAAAATGCTTCTTTTTTTTTTTTTAAAAAAGTGTTAAAAAGTGTGAAAGTGTTTGCAGCTAACGTGAGGTTTCTTACAGAAATAGCGAGAAAGCTGTAATTCTGCCTGACTTGAACACCTCTTTTCATATAAAAAAAGAAAAGGAAATCTTCTTCCATCTCCCTAATCTCAGATCATTGACAATTTCCATAATCTCATCAGGCTCTCTTGGAACAAGATGTCTTTCACCGTTCCCTGATGGCATGCTGCCTGGAGATTGTGCTTTTTGCCTATAGCTCACCTCGGACCTTTCCCTGGATCATTGAAGTTCTTGACCTCAGGCCTTTCTATTTTTATAAGGTAAGCAGATACTGTCTTGTAACTAGATCTGTATGAAAATGACATTTGTTACTGTGTTAACAGTCTTAGAGGATGATGCTTATCCTTCATAGGTAATGGTGTAGGAGAAGGGTATTAGTGGCACTATGTAACATACCTATTATTCTGTATCCTTAGATATTTTACCTGGAACGTGTAATGCTTTTAATTTGTAGTATATATAGCTCTGAGTAGACTAAAGCATTCAAGCATATATTTTACTAACATGCAAATTTATTGACAGCAAGCTATAGGACTGATTGTGTCCTAGTTCTACTTGTTATGGATAAAATAGCAATAATATTCTTTGTCTTGGCTACTACTTATCGCAGGCTTGCTCTGTTAAATTTTCCTTTTCTTCTCTTTTTTTGTTTTACGTAACAGAGCATAAAATGTCTTTTCCTGGGTGTTCTCTTTTTTTTGCTCATAGTTTGGTGAAATGTTTTTTGTTCTTTTTTATTTTTTTTAACCTCCTCCCCATCCTCCAAATATTTCTTCTGTTTCCCAACTTGTTTAATTTTTCTATCACCTATTTATATGCTTCCTATGTGTAGGTCCTGGAGACTTTTACTAGGTGCCTCATAGCTTACTGTGGTTAGTCCTGAATACATTAGAAATAGAGAATTCTGTTTAGAGGTTAATACTCGAAAATAATTCAGTCCTTTGGGAGATCTATATTTTATATCCTATTCTCCCTTCTTCCTCTTTTAAGTTTCAGATATAAGGCAGTAGTGAGACTGAAACAAATCTGTTAATGTTGCAGATATTGATAGCCTAGATGGGTAGCAGAGGCACTGGTGTTTTCTCTGCAGACATAAGTTTGTGGAACAGATTTGTATCTGATTTTTATTTTCTCTTCTATTCTGTGTATGTTTCTATGGTGCTTTTTACTTCAAAAAGTTGCCATGTTGAAGACCTCACATGAGAGAGCCAATATTTATCATTTTTTTTATTTGGACACTTAGAACTTAGGTAAATGCTTCAGTAGGTCACCCTGGGAGTTCGTAGCATTTCCATCACTGGACGTTTATAAAAACAGACTGAACATTCATCTGTCAGAAATGACATAGATAAAGTGGACTTTGCATTGGAGTGTAGGAATTAATATTATGACATTTCAGGGGCCCTTTCAGCTGTTAACGATACTGATCTGTATATCTGATTTAACCTTTTCTGAAATGAACCTTTAAAACGGTGATTTTTCAACCTTTTTGGCTTATGGGCCACTTCTTTCAAAGGATGGAAAGCTTAAATGCTGTTCTCTCATGTACACAACTTAAGCGAATATATCTGCTTATATCTTTCTGGATAGGTGTGTATATGCAAACGGGCACTGCATGTGGTTAGTGCATTGATTCTGTTTGTGCTGAGTGATGGTGAGAGGGGGCCTTAAAAAACCCTGGGAGTGGGTTGTCCTGAACTGGTAGGATGTTCACTGTCCGTTTGCAGCTCCTGGACTGCCTTTGCAAAAGGGGTTTAAAAAAAACCCTGTAGCTGTGTTTTAGGTATTTTGAGTTGCGTGCATGTATAGGCACACGTATATAGTTTTAGTTTTACTGAAATGGAAAAGGAAGACTTGGAACAAAGGAGTAAAGGCCTTCCGCTGAGATCTGACATTAGATGAAAAATCAGTAGTGCAAACTGATAAGGAAAGTGATGTTCAAGGCAGAGCCTTTGAAGAATGTGCTTTTGTATTCGCGGCATCTAGTTCGGTTGGTACATCGAGGTGTGAGCTGGATTGCTTAGAGGGATCAGAAAAGGGTTGGAAAGATTAAGATGTGAGGAGGAGGTTAGAGCATTCTGTACTGAAGAGAAGTTTTGAACAGGATCCTGAAATGAGTAAGGATTTGATGGTGAGTGACTTTGTTTTTTGTATGTGTGCCTTATTACCATTAGGTAATTGAAGTACTGATTCGGTCTGAGGAAGGTCTTTCCAGAGACATGGTGAAACATCTCAACAGCATTGAGGAACAAATTCTTGAGAGTCTAGCCTGGACTCGAGAGTCAGCGCTCTGGAATGCTCTCCAGGCTTCAGAAAACAAGGTCCCAACCTGTGAAGAAGTATGTTAGCTGTTTTTCTTTTATTGCAAATTCATGTTCTTTTTTTATTACTGTCATTTTATACAGCAAATCATTCAAATAGGACAATTTCTGCAGAGACCCTTTTATTAATAGATTGAGACAAAGAAAGGAAAGCTATTTGTTGTCTTACGCTGGCATTTCTTATTTCTCAGGTAATATTTCCCAGTAATTTTGAAGCAAGCAATGGAGGAAGTGGGCTTGGGCATTTGCCTATGATGCCAATATCTCCTATAGTTCATCCTCGAGTAAAAGAGGTTCGGACGGATCTTGGTGGGAGTTTAAGACGGGGTATGTTCAAGGTTCCTAATATACTTTAAATGTGTGGTTTTATTTATTTATTTTTTAAGATTGCTTTAGAGTTACGAAGGGCAGTCCTGCATCTGAATAAAGCACTGCTAAATGGAAAGGCTTTCAGTCTAGATACGTCCTGTGAAACCATTCCTGTGTTTTATTAGCAGCAGACATTGGTAATAACGCTTCACTTCTGCGCTGGGGGCAGGATTTTCCTTTGTTTTGATACAAGGGGTGCCTTACTCTTGGGGTGGGTTGTCATCTCTGATAGCTAGTGTTGTGTCTGATGCTATTTATATTTTTCCAACTTGTTCTGTTTTTAGTGAGTTTGGCTGGATTTTAGATGACAGGGTTTTTGGTTTTTTTTTGGTCCTCTTTGTGGTTTCCACTTTTTTTTTTTTTTTTTTTCTTTTTGAGAGGTCTCACTACCATTGGAGTCTCATTACTGTTACCCTTCAGAGCCAAGTGTCTCAGTCTCAGCTTTTTTCTCCCCCCAAGTCCGGTCATATTTGCTGCTGTCACGTCTTGCTTTGCTTCCTGGCATGACGGAGGTGTATCTCTTCCTACAGAACTCTTTTTGCAGGAGGGGAGGAAGACAACAGAGGGTAATTGGGCAGGCAGTACCGTTTTCCTCCAAGGAATGGCTTTGCTCTTTCCAGATTCCCTGGTGTCGCACAGACTGTCTCATAAGGACAAGGGTGAAGAGGCAGTGGCAGCACTGCTTTTGCTTTTCCCTACTACATGTACAATGCAAAGGAAGCGCTACTCTTGTTGTTTCACAGACTATAGTCTGCAGGTTCTTACTGGTGCACTGTAGACTGACTGATGCTATGATGCTGACTCCTCTTGTGTTTGTCTGACAAATTGTATTACAGGACTGTTTTTAAAAAATACATCCTTTTCCTAATGCACTAAACATAAGCAGTTGCTGTAGATGTTGTGAGTTGTTTGATAGAAGGCAAAGCAACCTGGAGACAGTATCTTATGTATCGGTAGAGGGGAGTGAGACCTTATCTCGCATGTGAGAGTCTGGAATCGAACGCTCCGCTTATCGGAAAGAACGGTTTGTGTATGTGGAAATGTGAAATGTTAGTTTTAATTACAGTTTTCCTTTCTTTTTATGTTGGTGGAAAGTATAGTTAGTCTCTTAGACTGTGCAATGTGCTACTAACATGCAGAGACAGCTCCTAACTTTAAATGTAGAATGGTGGTAGTGGTGGGGGTTGGAAGTCTTTATTTGCCCTTGGTACTACGCAAACTATCCTGGCAGAGTGAAAGTCGGGTCTCCAGTCAGTTTCACCTTGCCAGTTATCCAGAAGCCTTCTGCTTTATGGGAAATAGGAAGCTGCTGTCACTGGTATTACCCACAAGTAGCTAATGGACTTTGGACTTGTAGGGATAGCAAAAATGCAAAAAAAAAAAAAAAAAAAAGGGGGGGGGGGGGGCAGTGGAGCAGCAGCTCAGAAATTAGTATTGCCTGCTTTAGTTCTACTGATGGAGTAACGTTTGAAAGCAACAGCAAAGTTTGAGGGGGACCAGAGAGGTATGAAGGCAGGGTTCTGGTCAGGTTTAGTTTAGAGAGAGAATTTAGAAACTAAAATGTACTGAAGACAATATATCCAGGGAATGTGGTCAGTGTTCTTTTACAGGAACGTATTCAAGGCAAGTACTGCAAATTAGCTTGGTTATTCTTGTCTTTCATGTTGATAACCTGAGCTGTCTGAGAAGACTAGAGAATAAAAGGAGACAGTTAAAGGGCTATAGGTCTTTGTTCATATTGTCTGGGAACAGTGAACTGTGAGATTACTTTTTAATCAAAACAGGCTTTTTATACTCAGTTTTTATAGTTTGACAGGGTAGCCTTTTCTCCTCGTGTGGAGAAGTATTCCTATTAAACTGCTGCACTTAAATTTTTTTTCTCCTTTGCACATTAGACATGCAACCATTGTCACCCATCTCTGTTCATGAGCGCTATAGTTCTCCTACAGCTGGAAGTGCTAAGAGAAGGCTCTTTGGAGATGACAACCCAAAAGAAATGCAGATGGAGAAGATTTTGACTGAAGGAACTAAGCTCACAATTGCTCCAGCTTCAAGCATTGTTGCTGAAAATGTCTCAGTTTCTCCTGGGCAAACAGTACTGACCATGACAACAGCTACAATAGCAGGGAAAACGGGACAGAAAGTTACCATCCCACTGCATGGTAAGAATCCCTTCTGATTTCCTTCTGTACTAGATCTTTTGCTTGTGCTTAAGATCTGGTTAGAGTAAACTTTCTTTTTAAAAATGTATCATTTAAAAAAAGGGGGGGGGAGGTTGGTGGGGGGGGGTGAGAGAGAGAGCAGGTATATACTGACATCTCATTCTATAGTTTGATCTGATGCCTGACAAGCATCCTGAGGCTTCGTCCTTGCAAACAAAGTTGTAGAGCTTCTTTCAGTTAAGCTTTGTTACAGATTAAGCTTGCCTTTAGTTCTCAGCTTCAACAGTGATTCACCACTATTTGTCTTAGTTTTTGTTATAATGTTAAAAGGTTCTGAAACTTCTGGATAAGGGCTATAGATAAATATATGTATATATAGGGAAAATGTGACTTTTTTAGTTTTGTTAAAGCTGAAAGATGTTTGAGTATTTCTGATGGTGATACACAAATCAATTTTATAGCCTTTTTTAATTTAAATTTTTTTTATAAAAGTG